CTCCCTCACCTGTACAATACTGTCCCGCTGCAGCTCAGAGCCTCCCATGGTGCATTTCTCACTACTGGATGGGCTCCCATCAGGCCTGTGTGACAGCGTCGGTCCACTCACCCGCACTTTACCTCTGGGCTGAAATAGGGACGGTGTGAAGGCGGTCTTCGACAGGGTTAAAGCGTAGAACTGGCCCCGGTTCAGGTAAGCCATGGGTCCTTCTCCCTGCCGCGGCCGCAGCGACATGCTGGCCTCCAGACAGTACTGGAAACTGTCACTGTTAGAACATAGGCATGTGTGGGGCATCAAGATAAAACACATTTTACATTACATGTTAAATTTGCACAAATGGTGTCAACATTTTAATTAAAAAAAATCTTCTGTTTTCTGACTGGTGTAAGTAGTTTGGTGGAGGGAAGGGTGTGTGTTTACATTGCAAACGGAGCATGAGAAGAAGGCTGTTGCAGCAAGAAGTACTACTTATAGCTCTAAACAAAAAGGTTCAATGGTACTCTGATGCAACAGCACAGCTTTAAATGAGAAGTCAGGTGATATTCTATATTGTTCTTGTCAACAAATCCCATGAAAGGATCTAAACCAACAATGAATTGTTGCTAGTATTGGGTGTGTATCAAAGTCTGATATATCCTCTTTCTCTGTTCCATAGAGCTCCATTGTTGTCCAGAAACTACTGAGTGAGCCTCTCTGTTGCACTGGGTGACAGGTTTCTTTAAATATCATGAACACACATGCTGTAGTTTATTTTGACTCAAGCCCACACACACACCGTTCTGCTACCATTCAGTAAGTACTAGCGCAAATGTTGAATGGCTGAAAATAGTCCCCAACAAACACCATTTTCTCCTGTTAGTAATGTTTGCTAAAACCTACAGTTATGTTAGGAAGTTATTGGGTTTTTATTTTAAATAAAAACTATATATATTTGTGACTCAGGTTAGGAGAGAGTTCTTGAAGATTTACATCGTATGGAGGAATGGGCTTGGGGCTGAGAGCCACAGAACGGCTGGGGGAGTCTCGAGAAGTACTGAGAGACAGACTTGATTTTGGTCTTTTTTGGGGGTTTGTCAACCTTGCCTTATCCTTCAACACCGGATAAACACTTCAGCATCAGAACACTATGTGTAAACATGAGTAAGTCTGTATGTTTAATGCTTTTGCTTGTCTGTGAATTGCAACTTACACTGGTAGACTGTAGTGGAATTCACCAACTCCTGAGGAGGGACTTCGGTGGTACATCTGGAAAAGAAGAATATACTGTGTGTTTGAATGATTAGTCGACTGATCAATTAGTCAACCAAAAAAATAATCGGCACCTATTTTGATAACCGATAAATCCTTACAATAATTTTTCATGCAAAAAACGGCCGAAAATTCTTTTTTTAGCCTCTGAAATATGAAGATTTCCTGCTTTCACCTGTTTTGTATCATATTAAACTGAATATTTTGTTCTGGACTGACATAGGGAGGCATTTAAAGACGTTGAGAAACCAGATATCGTTCACTCTTTTCTGACATTTTATAGACCAAACAATGAATTGATTAATCTAGAAAATAGTCAGATTAATCGATAATGAAAATAATCCTTAGTTGGAGCCCTAGAAGCATTAATGCATACAGTGCACATTACTCAAAAGTATATTATGTATATGCCAACCCGCGAGTGGGGGGCAGTGATTGTATCAGAGGGGCCATGCCCCCCCGCCGCCACCCCCGCCACATCTTGGCACCGTCACAGATTGAACAAAACCCCTACAAATGTGATTCTGGTTTACAAAGAAAGACATTATACCAACAAGTCTCACCTCTCCTTCCATAGTATCCTCATACGTGCTGTCTGGAGTGCTCCTCTGTTCATCTTTCAAGTACCCAGCTAGCTGCAAATCATAGTGGCTCTGCTCATAAACCATCCTCATCTGCTCTCTGGGTTCTTCTTGGTAGGAACCTCCAGAACAGGACACTCCCATGGACGTTTGGCTCTCTGTCTTGACTAGAGCCAGAGCAGCCCCACCTCCACCTTTACCGTCTCCTCCTCTGGTGTCTCCTGGGAGGCAGGCAGCTCCATACTTGGAGCCCTGATGTTCTGTAGCAGTGCTGTTGTTTAGGGACAGGTTGACTGGCATGGATCTGAGAGCCTGGAGATGGTGATCTAGCATCTCCAAGCTCCCACAGTTATCAGGCGCATTAGCAGAGGGGTCTGTGGGCTTAACACCGCTGGAGGAACGTCTCCTCTCTTTAGGAACCTAACAGGATGGAAGCAAACATATTAAATAAGATCTGAAACAAATTCAATAGATCATATGTAAATGGTCTTATTATATCATTATTATTTTGGCTGTCATGCCATGCTTTCCAGACCTTGTAGTAGTCGTACAGCAGTCCCAGTGCTGCCGCACTGTCCTCATCTCCATTGATGCTCATCATGGCCTTAGTGGCCGCAGTCAGTGGGTTCTCCAGGTAGCTCCTCCATGCCTCATCCTCACTGCTGAACACTCTGCGGGATGGCACCAGCTTTTCGTTTGGTACCACCACCACCAGCCGTTTACTGCTAGGACGATGGGACAACAGGACAACAAGAAGAGACAATAAGCTGTGTTGTTACTGGAAAGTCAATCTGTCATTAACAGAAGCCAAGTCTGCCAAGCCACTAAGTCTGCCCCAGGCTGTTTCTCACCAATCTAATTGTTCACTCCATGTGAGGTGTGTTTATCTAAGTTCAGTCTTGAGGGATAACTGCTGGTATCTCACATTTATTTCACAAAATAATGTACTGATTCTGTTCTGGGAAATTCAATCTAACAGGAGTTATTTTTTTACATCTTCCCTGAGAGGCTGGCCAGAAGGGATGTTAATTAGATCTTTTTTTGAAGGGCCCAAACTGTAGTTTTTAATATTCACAGTTAAGTTTGATCTTAGTAATAATTACAGTTCACATAAAATAACATGAATAACAGTAAGGTTTTCATAATAAAACATTGGAGTCATTAGGAAATCAAGTGATAGGCCCATATCTATACAGAATGACAAACAGATATAGAATAAAACACAAACACAAAAAATACAGTCATTCTTGTAGTGTCTTATACATGTATGGCCTTTTATCTTTAGCACAACTACTTGGTAGAAACTAATTATTAATTAAACTAGAGAAAATATGTGTTGAAAAAGAAAAGTTGTGCTGCCCATGTGCAAAGAACAAAGAGACGAAGGACATCAAAAATATTTTAAGCACTTGTAAAAACTAAGTAAAGTGAAACTGACAGAAATGATCACCCACAACATACATGACTCTCTCTTACCTGTCCAGGTCCATGTTGCCGCCAGGACTCTCTGCTGTTTTCTAGGACTTGCTTGTGAAACTGGACTTTCTAGTTAGTGCAGGTAGGCTAAGTCTGTGTGGGAAAGGGAAGCTAGGCGCGCAAGAGGCTGGCTCTATTTAACTTCTGTGTCGAAACAGCCAATGAAATGACGGGAACCCAGCGTACTGAAGTGGCCCTGATGCCAGGTAAAATGTGAATAAAAATAGCAGCATTTCCTGCACCGACTGGTTTCTGTGCTGTCCAGTGAAGTTGGCAAATCGAGAGATGGGTATAAACAAGGAAACGAGCAGTTGCCTTGTGGATTGGTTGGATGTTTCCACACAGGTGGCACGGCCGTCTTCCTATTGGCGGATAAGGAGAGATGAGGGGAAGGTGGACATGTGTTAGTTTCTGTCTCTTTAACAGCTAACACTGTATTGTCCTCAGGTACCGACTGTTGTCTTTCTTTAAGGAAGCAGTGAATAACAGCGTGCACTCTCCTCACTCGGTTGACATGGGTTGTTTTTTGTGTTTTTGTTTTGTTTTTCATGGACAGTGCAGTAAGACAGGTGAGGACAGGAAGACATATGAAGCATGACAAGGCAACACAAATATTGACGGTATCACACAACAACAAAAAACGACAAAAACTGAACAAACCGAAAACAAAAAAGGAGTAATAATATATTAATATATTAATAAATATAAAAACGAAGAAAATAAATCAAGAAAAAGTAAAAACAGGCTGCTAGAAGTAAGTTAGGGTTAAGTGGTTGGAGGTATCGGTGTAGAAATTGAGATAAAAGTTAACGTTTATTTTCTTATAGAAGGTGAAAGATTGAGATAACTGGGGTAAGAAAGAGAAAAAGAAGAGACAAGACATTTTGACTGAAAATGGCAGATTAATCCTTGGTAGAGTTATTCATAGGAACCCCTTTATGATAAGACTAAATATATGATTCATATAACAAAAATGAAAATAATGCTTCTAGTTTTCAGGGTCGTATTATAAAGGCTAATATGTTATATGAGATAATATTTTCTCTTAATCGTGATTAATACAGTAGGAGAAAGGTATAGTAGCTGACTGAGTAACCTTAGCTGTCTGTACTATGACACCTTGTGGTTGACATTTCACTTTGCACCATGCAGACAGATTTTTTTTTCTTCTTCAAACATCTTCCTTATTAAACAGTTATGTCTCACATACATTGCCTTGGTACATTCAGTGCTCATTTTCATAGTCCTTACAATTGTGCTTATAGAATAGGAGTTATTAGGAAACCAAGTAGAATGACAAACATAAATGGAATAAACAACTGTTTAAATACAAAACATAAAAGTGGATAAAAATGCTGATAATATAATAAAATATTGAGTTGACCAGAGAAGCCTTCCTCCTAACCCCTGGTCCAGAGAAAATGTTAATCATAAATGTGGAATCCACATAGCTATATGAGTTATTTTTTTATATAAACATATATATATATATATATATTTTTATATAAATGACTGCTTTACGTTTATACTTTAGTAAATTTTTGTTTCCTGATTAGGATGTCTGATGCTGCGTTTAAGTGCTGTCAGAAAATGTCCCCCCTCGATCCATCCTTACCACACAAGGGGTATTTGTAAAAGCTTCAGTCGCGGCCACTGACTACACTTGAAGGCAGCATCAGTTTCTGTTTGGGCATGCGCATTATCGCGGTGACGACATACCACCTCGAGGCAGCGGACGGTGCTGAGGACTGACGTTAACCTCGCGTTTCTTGAATTTTATTTTAGTGGCTATCTTCAGTCAGACATTTATTTTTCACTGGTAAGGCATTTACAAAATGTCTATTATACCTCTCAATGCCTTTTATCTATTAAAATCATATTTTCTGTATGCGTTCCTCCACACTTTTCTTCCTAGCTAACCTAGCGCCAGTGTTAGCAACCGGCTAACAACATGTCTGTGTCTTGAGTAGTCTGACAGTAAATGAATGTCCTATTTATGCTATAGATGCACTAAGAGATGTGTTTTGTGTTACTAATACGACCATGTCCAAGGTTACGACAGTAACTCAGTCTTATAAACCGTCGCTTTTAAACTAAACTCTAGCTAAAGTTGGCTAACGTTACCGTGTGAGAGCAATGCATGGCGGCGGAGGCTGAGCTCAGTCCACCACAGTGATCTTGGCTGGATGACACTTTTAATGTGAAAGTAAAGTAAGCAAAGAGAGTGATGGTTACTCCTTTCCAACACATCCACTGGACAGACAATTTGGGGGTTGATAGTGGACCCCAGTGTGTTTATTCGTCCCTCCCCGTCACTATCAGTCAATAACACCGTTCATATGACCCTACCCCCTGACCTAGTTCCACTATTGTGACTATAATAACCTTGAATATCTGCAGTGTGATTTTCTTCGGGGAAATTTCCAAGTTAATTGCCTTATCCCTGTGACCCAAAAAGCGGCAATTAACCTAGTTTAGAAAGATGTTTCACAGCCACTGCTTTCTTGCACATTTTAAAGTCTGATGATCTTATAAGACAGCTGTCTTTACATTTTTTAATCATCAAGGTGCTTCATGTAAAGCCTCAACTGGTGTAACTGCTTCATGTTTCCAGTTAGTCTGCCTCTCAGTCCCTCTGTGACTTACATTTTCCTTTCCATCACCTACTCAGAACTTTGCTTGCAAGCCATCTTATAGTCTTTCTCAGTTAATGGCTCATCACCTTCTTCATGGTGTTGTATAATTTCTTTAGGTCTAGCATCAGATATGGCCCGTGGGCACCAGAAGTTCCAGTCCCAGCAGAAGAATGCCAAAAAGCAGGCAGACATCAAGAAGAGCAAAGGCCATGACCAGAAGGCAGCAGCTAAGGCTGCTTTAGTATACATGTGCACAGTGTGTCGGGTATGTGCTTAGGCGGTAAACAGATCATAACATTTTGAATTAAATTAAAATTAGCACCCAGGTATCCATAGCCAGCAATGCTATTGGTGCCCCGTGCAGAATTGCTAATGTGGCTATTTACATCGGGGTCTATATAGCATGGCAGAGACAAGCACTCAGGTGACCATAACCAACAATGCTGTTTGCACCCAGGAACACATTAGATACTGAATGTGTATATATTTTGTGCTTAATGCACCTGACTTTTTAGGAGGCTGCTGATGTCCCATGTGAAACCAAAACTCAATGTTGATTTATTTGAACTAAACCATGATATTTTCTTAAACATAACCAGGTAATTTGTTGCCTTAACCTAATCAGACTACAACTGAAAAAAAACCAACTGAAAATAAAAAACATTTGGGTTTTGGTTTCACATGGGACTCAAACCCTAGTTTCCAAGTAAGATTCTTGTGTTTGACCCATTCATCCACTACAAATTCCTGAAGGCATTCTGGGTGTAAATAGCAAACAGACACTCCGTAAAATGATTCTTTTGTGAACTTGGTATCACCACAGCAGAGGCCCCATCATCTTACTTCACATGTCCTCTTAGCCCTGCAATGGATAACTACATTGCCTAAACCAACTACTTTCAATACAGTCTAGCTCAGTGTGCTGCAGGTAGTGGTGGGTTGTATGGACTACATCAAATTGATAAATGTTTTATCTCTGAAAAAACAAAACAAACTTTTCTCTAAAACAAAGCTGAACATTAGAAGTGTCACAAAGGTAGGATTTATTTCAGGACACTTTTGTAGGATTACATTTGGTTGTGTGGGTGATCCTAATGAACTGGCACTCGTATTGAGAGCTGGGATATTCCTACTCAGCTAACAGCAGTGTCCTCTGGAAGCTCCAGTTTTAGGTGTCGGTCATCTTTGTGGGGACAATAACCAAATGTGTGGTAAAGTGGTACAAAGCCCTCTCAGAAAGTTGGTTGAGGAGGCTCTGCTCAAATTTTCTGACAATCAGGTCCTCTTAAGTAATTGTCCAGAATGCACACTGCAGGTATGAAAACGGGCAGAACTCCTAAGTGCTTTGTGAACTCTTCCTCTCCACATTGTTCGTATTCACCACTGTCTGTGTTTGCTGCTGCATTGCCCTGATCATCTCTGTGCTGGCAGTGATAAAGTACTACACAACAGCTGGAAACCTGTATGTTACCTGTAAATGTAATATTTTATTTGTGTCAGCCTCTTAAGTAATCTCTTGTCCTAGCGATTACTGATAGTATGAAGGTAGCTGCTGTAAGGTTTTGAATAAGTTGGCATTTTTAATGTGGTGGACGATGCGTTGTTTGACCCCACAAGTGACCTTGTTGTGAAAGAATAGCTGTTGATGTACCGAGGCAAACTGTAGTCTTTTATTAGGATATACTGTAAATATGCAAGGATGCCCAGTTTATTCTTATCGTTTTGTTAGTGTGCTCTTTATATGCTGTTTCAATGTATATTTTCAAATTTTTCACATTTTTTCTTTTCCACACTTTCTTAGACACAAATGCCCGACCCGAAGACCTTTAAACAGCACTTTGAAAGCAAGCATCCAAAGTCTCCAATGCCCCCAGAGCTGGTCGATGTGGAGGCGTAACAGATTCACCTCTTTCAGTAAGACAGTTGGGGCTGATTCATCACAGGCTTCTACATTTTGCAATGTTTCAGATAAAATATCCTCAGTACAACTTCAGTTATTCCTCATGCTACTTAATTTGGTAATTAATATATGGGTGTTTTATGCAGCGGTACTACTTGCCTGCCTGCCTGCCTGCCCGCCAGCACATGGTCTTATTTCCAGATTGGATTTTTTGCAAAACTATCCTCACTCACCAGAATTCGATCCAGGGCCAGTACTGAAGGTAGACGCACAGCAGACTGCTACCCTGTCTTGACTTGTGCTAAAAATATATATATATGTATGTGTGTGTTCCATTTTTGACTGTATGCAATATTTCTATCTGATCATTTCAAAATGTTATACTCATAAGACCAGCTTGTCCATGGGCTCTACCAGCATTACAACCATCTCAGGGCTCCCACGTTTTCAGGACAAGCTTTGAATTTAGAAGAGAATGAATTGGCACTGGCCCAGCTGAACAAAGTTGTAATACTAAAATGATGATTGGAAGCATCCAAATCCAATGTACTATAAATCTCATTTTGGATTTTTGGCTGAAACGTAAGTTGCGATGCGCCAGGGTTGGGTTCCTAATTAAAGTTTATTCATAATGACTCTGGAGTTCATAATGTACTGTACTTTGAAAGACAAAGACAAACTCATTCTAAACCACTAATAATGTGTTCTTTTGAGTAGATTGAGATTTAATTTCAATCTGCACTGACTTTTTACCTTTCCTTGATCATTTAAAGAATTCCAAGACAAGTATCTAGTTTTTGTTGATATGAAGAATATATTACACATTGTGCTACACGGGTACTGAAATTGTGTGTTGCAATTTCCCCTCAGATTTCCATGAAATGTATCTAGTTCATGTCCACTGTGTAACTTTCTCATGTGCAAGTTGTAAAAGTTGACCAGAGAGGGCGCTGCAAGTCTACTCATGGCAAACCCTTCCATGACACAATTTCTCCAACTCCTCATAGAGCAATGTGATGACTGCACAAAGCATTTGTTTGCGAGTGTTTGTTGAGTGAATCAGGGTGAAGATAAGTTTTCACTGGATGTTGTAAATGATGGCACTATTGAGATACTTCTATCCTATCCAGGTTTGTCGTTGTAAAAAGACGTACGTGGCATAATCGTGTTCACTACGGTAGTATTTGATAACGATTCAGTCTATCACAATTGTGGAACCACTAGTCATCTCAGTGGCATACGATCCCAAGTGCAGTCTCAAACTCTTTAGTGTTATTCCCTCATTATGGTGCAAAAGTATTTAGACTGAACTACATTACACTGTAAGTTAGCTTTGGTTCTTATTTTTATATTAGTTCTTTTCATAGCATGCTAACAGACGGAGAATTAATTTATAGAAATTAACTATTTTCTATGCATTTGGACCGACTGGTCATTAACCACTGACATTGTATCACTGTGCTAAAGTCTGGACTGACAACCAGCCATGTTTTTACTTTTGTATTAATAATCATATCTTTGTCCATGCAATGCTATGTCTAGCTTTTAATAAAGGTGTTACTTTTATATGAACCATTACTAAGCTGTGTCTTTTGATCATTTATACATTTCCACCTGGATGTTTTTTATTGTTTGTGTATGCATGTGTGAGTGTTTCTGTTGTTTATTGGCCTCTTGAGCTTCCACCTACTGTACAGTTTATTAGTGTACTGCCAATTTAGGCCTCCTGGTTGAAACTAATAAGTGTGTACTGTAGTGTTCTTGTTAAACCACTCTAATCACTATCATATTACAGGGACCTGCCGTGCACCATCTATAAACAGTGATAAAGATGGAGAGTAATCAGTATAATAAATCACGCTTCCTCATCTACCTCTGCTCTTCCAGTCAGGGCTCTAGGCCTATCTCAGTAATCTGAGTTTTATTAGCGTGTCAGTTTGTACCCTGGTGAGAAAACAGGGCCTCATTGCTCGTCCACACGGTTTATGGTAAAACCAATTCTATATTTGAGAGTGAGAAATGTATCATGAAGGTAATAATGAGCCACTGCGCCTGTGGGCACGTTACAAGAGCTGACAAACACTAATAATGCTGGGTCTTTATTAGTCATACTCTTGATCTATTAATGCCCTCACCCTGCTGGTTGCTTTAGAAGACCTGTTGCCAGAGACAATCCCATAAAAATAGATTTATATACATTTTAAAAAACAAACTAATGAAACTGGCCTGGACAAAAATGATGGTACCCTGAGCTTAATATTTTGTTGCACAACCTTTTGAGCAATTAAGCGATTTCTGTAACTCAATGAGACTTCTGCACCTGTCAACAGGTATTTTGGCCCACTTCTCGTGAGCAAACTGCTCCAGCTGTCTGAGGTTTGAAGGGTGCCTTCTCCAGACTGTATATTTCAGCTCCTTCCACAGATGTTCAATTGGATTTAGATCAGGGCTCATAGAAGGCCACTATGAAATAGTCCAATGTTTTGCTCTTAGCCATTCTTGGGTGTTTTTAGCTGTGTGTTTTGGGTCATTATCCTGTTGGAGGACCCATGATCTGCGACTGAGACCAAGCTTTCTGACACTGGGAGGTCCAGGGACGTTGGCTACAGTCCCGTGGAACTTAAACGTCTTAATAATATGTGCAACTGTAGTCACAGGAACATCAAACTGCTTTGAGATGGTCGAATAGCCTTTACCTTTAACATGCTTGTCTATAATTTTCTTTCTAATCTCCTGAGACAACTCTCTCCTTAGCTTTCTGTGCTCCATGTTCAGTGTGATACACACCATGACACCAATCAGCACAGTGATAACGTTTCACCCTTTAAAAAGGCAGACTGACTGATTACAAGTTTGAAGACACCTGTGATGCTAATTACAGGACAAACCTTAGTTTAAAATGTCCCTGTGGTCAAATTATTTTCAATCTTTTCTAGGGGTACCATAATTTTTGTCCGGCCAGTTTCATTAGTTTGTTTTTTAAAATGATTCTGTTGAACCACAATTCAAAAGCAATGTCTGATTTTCATTAGTTAATTTTCAGTCAATTTGTATTCGTTATTACTTCTGTCAGTCTCAAGTTATTTCAGTGACCATTGTGGGTTTTTCTTTCCCTCTATGGTACAGCGTTGCCCTCAGGCAACACACCCATTTTTGGCCTGTCAAATCTCCACAATGCATCTTTTTAAATGATACTCTACTTTTAAAAAGAGGGAAGACGATGCTTTAATTTGTCACATGACTTTCAGGAAGCCATATTGAAACCCTTTTTTGCAGACATTTTCAAAGGAAACAGCTTTGCAATTTTGCACCACATCAATGAAAACATCATTTCCGGGAACTTTTCCACCTGCAAAAAAATATATTCACTTTTTTCATTTTTTGCTAATTAAATAATGGAAACTTGATAAAATGCAACTGTTGCCCAGAGGCAACAACCTATCATGATGGACAATTGCATATGTTGCCTTGAGGCAACAGTGAACCATTATGGAATCACCATGGCAGCATGAGATTTTGGTAGTGTGTGTTTAGGAATGCTCAAAAGCATATATAATGTTCAAAAGCATGTGATCTTTACAATTTAACAAAGATAAATTTGATGTTTGTTGCAGTGAAGTTCAGACTATTACTATACTCTGTAGGCCATAGTGAACTTTGCCTTATTTATCCTTATAACTTCGTCTTCTTTGCTTATTTCCACACATTTTCCTCCATTTACAGAATGAATTCAGCCTCATTCTATACCCCTTTAAGGAGGTAGAGGGTATAAATCCCACTTCAGGTTGAGCATAGTGAAGTTGAATAAGAATTAATTAGTGATGAAGAATGCAGTGCCATCATCACCTGTGCGTCAGGACAACACTGACCATTGACCTATTTGGGTGGAGAAAAAGGGCAGGTGCAAATACCCAGGATGTAAGGGTATAGTGGAAGTGCAGTGCACACAATGTGTCACCTAGCTGTGCTTCACTCCTGAAAAAAACTGCTTCATGGAGTTCCATAAGCACTGAGCAGCAGCACCACAAATGATGGCAGCGCATGTCAGGAAAGACACAGAGGACTGATAGGAAACATGCATTGAAATGAAGGAGTGATGATCAAACACTGGAATCTGACACCAGTTTCTTGTTTTGCAAATGGTTATGATCTTTGTTTTGATAATTAGTTCATTTAAAGTTTGAAGAATTAGGCTTACGCTTAGAATTACAACTCTTCGAAACATTCATTTCAGTGGGTTGTTCCACACTGGTACAATGTTGCCTACAGGCAACGTTCAGCCAAGAAACCCTTTAAAATAGTTCCTTTTATAATATTTTTCAATTTAAAATGGCATGTATTGTAACCTGTTGAAGCTATTGAATCTTTTACACATGTTTATTTAATAAATTATGTTCAAATTTAAAAAAAAAAACTTTTTCACTTTAGCACCATTATGGTACAATGTTGCCTACAGGCAACAAACCCCAAAAATGTATTTTAAAAAATTATTTTTATAAAATTTCTTCAGATTATGTTTATTTAGTCTATTTTAAAATAACACTCCAAACATTTTTTTCCTAACTGGCATCATAATGTGTAACCATCAGTTTTGTCGACGTGTGTACATCTAGTTAAACTAAAACTAGCACTGCAACAACAGTGTATGTGAGACAGGTATACATACGTGTGCAGAATGTTTGTACTACTCATAAGTGTGGCTACACCATACATACAGCACATACTGTATTCTCCCATCTACATATACTGTACTTATGTGATATGCTGACTCCATATGTTACAGACTAACTAATCGGGGCTGTTTTTGCTTACCTAAATGTTGATTTGACTGACTTTTTTTGAATGGCCATTTTGTATTTTTTCATGTCTTGTGGTACTTGTTCCATTTATGTCTGACTCATGGTAGACTCTTGATTCAGATCTTATAAAAAAGTAATAATACTTCTGTATTACAGGTGGCAGTGTGGTGATCGTACAAACTGTGTATGATGAGATAAAATGAATCAATAACCTTAGTCTAACTGGACCCCAAAAGGATTTTGAATTACTCGTCTGTGACCGATGCACTAATGCAGGTATAAATCCTGGATTATACAGAGCTATACGCATGTGCTGAAATAACAATGTGGCACTATTATAACATCATAAAATTATATTAATACCTCCTGTAGCACAAGCCTAAACCAGCTAATGTTTGTAAAGTTATTTGACATCACAACAAAGGACAAAAAGATAAAGAGAGCAGTGGAAAAAGGACATGTTTTTTCATGTTATTGCAGCACAGGCCTAAATATCTTGACTTTTAGTCCCTAGCATGGGGCAATTCCATCCTTCATTAGAGCCTCCACACCATGTCGTTTCAACACCGCACATCCATTTTTAAACAGGCATTCTGCTACAAATGTGTAGTCTCAAAGCTTGGGCTGCGATCACCTGGCCCCCCTTTTGAATTGTGAAATAATGAACAAACAATCACACAGTCACACAAATACCTTTCAGAATGTTGTGACTGTCTAAGAGACGAAATGATAAGTGAAGTTTTTCAGGATTTCACAACAGCAGCTGGAATTCCCACAGACATAGAGGCTTGAATCTTCCCAGTTATCAAAGGCCTTTACACCAAGATCCAGCTCATTATTCTCTATTTTCTTTTGGAAGTTCTGCTGGGTACTGCCCCAGACAATGCTGCAGATTTTAGGGACTTTTGAAGAGTGATGGATTGATGTCTACTTGTGGGATTTGACTATTGTTATTGAATACAGAAGCTGAGTGGCTCTCACAGACTTGACAACATTACTGATAACTCTCGGAGCGTTGCCAGGAAACACAAATCATGAACTTTGGTTGTAATTTGTATGTGTGCGTGCCTGTGTGTTCACGTTCTCAAGATGTGGTTGATAGCCTGAGAACCCATCTAACCGGTTACACAGGTTTAAGTTATCACTGCTAAATCTTTTTTCCTTTACTTGAAATCGCTCCTTCCTGGTCCACACTTTGACAAGTGAAAGGAGACGGTCATCTTCTAGCTCTGGCGCCTGTGCACTGTACAGTCGACATTATCTGATCTGCCCTTAAATAGGTTACAAGCTTGAAATCTTGGCCCGGGGGGAAAACATGTGACAAGGCAAAAATAGCTTCACTCTCTCCCCCTGGAAACCAACCAGAATGCAGAAATAGTAGTTTCTATTAGGCAAGATATACTGTAGCACTGTGTCCTGTGTTCTAGTTTATGATGCCCTCAGCATCTCCTGCAAACACTCCTGAATGCTGTTCCAGACACAATTTCACAACTGAGTGGAAAATGATAATGTCTCATTCTGTTAGAGATAAATTACACTCTGGAAGCTAAGGAGCTTGGTGGTCTCTAGATAAAATGTGACCTCGTCAGCAATTAGCCAACCATGATCTGTGTCACAGCATCCACATCATGGGTGCTATTTAAGGCTTAAGAATTCCTGTCAGTGTTGTCACCATACAGTGTATGTGTTGTCTCTACCCCTGTTCCAAAACAAAAGTGTGATCTGCAGTAAGATAAAGGACAGTGTTGTGAACCTGTGAGTGATACTGACTTCCATATT